TATTTGACTTAATTTATTTATTTGAATCTTCCAGAAATCGATCCGAGTATACAGTGTAAAGTACAGACGAATTACCTATTTACATCTTTGAATAGGGCAGTAGATCAATGATAAAAATCGTACTGTACTCAGTGTTTGATCTTCTTTTTAGTTTATTTTATTTTGATTTTATTTTATTTTTCGGCTTACCAGTACTCCGTACTCTCCTATGTATGTACAGTACTGTACAGGCTTATCGATAAACACACCACGGCGGCTCACCGCCCACAAGCTTCCCCTTGTCCACTTGTCCGCTAGTTATCCAACCCTCCTTCCAACCTCCGCATTTCATCACGACTCACGACAAACAATCTTCCTCTTACGTTTGGCTCACATTCTCTGCACACAACAAATACTCTCTCCAGCTTCCCCCCCCTGTTTTCTGGTCAAAATATTATCGAGTTGCCAGTTCTCTCGCAATGGTGGTTTATTCTTTCTATATTTTTGACCGGCACGGTACAGTACCATTTCTCCGCTTCCCTTGAATTGACGCCCCCGGATTTCCACATGCTAACCCCATCCTGCCCTGCTTTTAGCGGAATGCATATACAAACGACGCTGGCTTCCTCGCCCAGTCTCTACTTCCGGCAGCAAATCTTCTCGACCTACCTCGGAAGCTTCTGCGCCAGCTACCAGCGCTTCTGTGCTTCTCGGCCAATCCGCGCGGACAACCGATGACGATGCGAAGTTGATCTTCGGTACTGTGTTTTCGCTACGCAATATGGTGCGCAAACTGGGAGGAGAGGACGACAAGTAAGGCTGCGGCTGGCTCATGCATCAGGGGTTCGATCTCCACTGACCCGGGTCTTTCACCTCTAGCTTCGTCACGTATAAGACGAGCCAATATAAGCTGCACTACTACGAGACGCCAACCAACATCAAATTCGTCATGCTCACGGATATCAAGAGCCCAAGTATGCGCGTTGCACTGCAGCAGATCTACATCAATCTCTACGTCGAATATGGTACATCGAGACACAACCCTTTCATGATTTTGTCCGAATGCGCCAAGCTAATTTCTAATCCTGGTTCGACAGTGGTCAAGAATCCGTTGTCTCCTGTCGAGCATCCGGGGGGCGTGGGCGTCAACAATGAGCTATTCGAAGAGTCTCTAGAACAATTTGTGGTACGTGTGAGGTCATGCCATTACCAAGGTATCTTCTAATCAATGTGTAGACACGAGTCTTGTCGTGAATCGGTCATCCATGCCCTTCACGTTCGGAACCATACGTCATTCAGAATTGAAACTCAGACTGGCTTCGCACAATCGGTCTGCCAACAGCTGCATCGGCAGGTCAATACTACGCGGCAGGAGATTCCCACCATTCCAAACGACCACCCTCCACCATGGCTCGATAGCCGCAACACACGCTGCGCGGAGTGTCGAAAACAGAGGCCAGAATTTGGTGCTTATCCACGTGGAACACGGCACCAATCATGCATACATCGTCCGCGATACGTCAAGCCTCGTTTTGAGATCCTAGACGGACTCAGGGCACTTTCACTTTTCGTGGCTACGGCTGGAATTGATCTAATCAATATCAAGTGGCCCGGTAGGCTACCAGTATTCGGGCCCTTCATGGAAACAATATCGTGCCGCAGAACTAGCTAGGTAGGTCGTCCACATTCAATTCGTGTACAATACATAATTACATATCAACATCATAAGAGCAATCCATCACTAAACAATAATACTACTCATATACGAGTCATTCCACGTTGCGCATCAATCCACCATCGTGATGGATGTTTTCAAAGCACGCCACCAGTGCTGGATACACCAGAGTTGCCGTAGAGCACTTCTTCAGGCAAGTCGTCCTCATCGGGACCTTCGTTGTAGGCGTTCTTTGTCGACGGCTTCGCATGACGCAGGCGGCTTCCCTGCAGGACGTTGGACTGATCGATAGCCTCGTCCTCATCTTGGGCTGCAAAACAGATGTTAGCCATCCGCTCATCATTCGACTCCAAGGTGGTGCAGGACCTACCAAGCTGTTGGTCCGAGTTGGAATAGGGGGGCTGCATTGGGTCGTCATAGCGATCCTCGTCTTTCTGAACGGGAATCTGATTCCTCAGACCCGACTGGGTCTCATGGGCATAGGAGTTGTCGTAGACAGTTCCCGAAACCGGAGAGGTGTCATTGTCAGCCTCGTAGCGGTCTTCGGCTTCTCTCTCGTAGCGGTTCGACATGTTGATGGACGAGTTGAGATGAATTATGTGTAAGATCTTTGTGGTAGAAAAGTTCGGGGAGCTTGTATTTGTACAGGCGCAGAATGGTTTGGAAGCAGAGTTCGGCAACCCTGGGCGGCCTTATAAGTTCGTCCATGGACCTCTATCTATTGGCCCTGATGCAATGTTGATGTCAAGCTATGTCTGATGAAATCGATCATTTCGATCAAAGAGATTCACATTGAGATAAAGTTCAGATTAGGTTTTGACGATGTCATCGGGGGATGGGGACTGGTGCCCATTAATCGAATCGTCTGTGGCATTGATACCTTCTAGAATGCTTTGTTTTCTACATCAGGGATATCGAATGGTTAGGAGAGCATCGAGCCGAAAAGAGAGTCCGCCTTGGTTCGTTGTTTCGAGACGAAATCCTCGTCTGAGGTCATGTCTGCTGCTGCTGATGTTGCAGCTGTTTTTTCGACACGACGAATGTCCTTTCCTACCAGTTCTTAGTAAAGTCATTGATGTAGCAAGGGATTAGGGCCATGGAACAAGCTAACGATCATTTCCCGAAAGAACATGCAAGGTAGAGAGAGACGGATCTCTGAACCAAAGTTAAGAGTAATTGAATCGTGGTTCAGGTTGATAGCGATGTAGGAAAATGACATCGGATTGACTCAAGCTGAGGTAATTCGCCACGGCCTGGGCTGGTCGGCATACTACAGAAGACCCTAGCGATCATCACGGCCCTCGGCGTCACCATTATTCTCAAAGATGTGGCAAGAAACGAGTCAGTGAAATGTGTATGATAGAGAGTAAGGTAGACAGTAGCTGGTGGACTTGTATACTCGTAGCTGGTTGTTCCATTGAAGGCTTTAATTGGCGGTTGATCATTCTTGCAAATCCCAGCAGGCGTCATGCTTGGGAATCTTACCTAAGCTGCTGCTGCTGCTGCTGTTATTCTCGAGCACGATGTCTGGTTCAGCAGAGAATCCTTTATTCTTTCTCACGCGACGAAAATTGTCCGAGGAAGAGCTCGTCAAAGTACGATCGATACTGCGCAGCACATAATTATCGCCAAGGGGTTGGGTGTCGGTTGCAACAGACGACCGATCGAACAGTGCAGGGCCATTGCGGTCATGAGCGCGAAGCTTTCAAAGTATCCAGACCAGTCAACTAGCTAGGGAACAGCATGGTCATTGAATTGATTGACAATCTGGCGGTCAAACAAACCTTTTCGACATCTGGCTTGGGTTCAATAGCCGTACGGAGACAACACAGGAAGAAGAACAGAGGGAGGAAGCGCAATGGGCTGAAGTGCTCCGAGCGCTTTCCCTCCCGCTCCGGCATCGATTTGTTGTCGTCCGCACCATTTCCCAAAGGCAAACTTCGCGCATAGAATCGCCTGTTTGCGGAACGAAAGACTGATTTGTACTCTTTGGCCTGGCAAAACCGCAGTGGTGGATCATCCGCCTGATCAAACCAGATCCGACCAGGTCAGACCGAGTTTCCTTCGTTCGACAATCATCTGATCTGATATCGGCCCGCCTATGCCATCACCACCATCACCACCATCACCACCACCACCACCACCACCCGCTCATGCCACTTACTCATAACACTACGGAGTGATTAATCGCTTTCAACGATATGATCATCGTTGGCTGCGTCAATCCTATTCAGTCCGGGCTGCCGCAGCCCTTGGTGCCGTCGCCCTTGAAGCAGCTTGAAAAGCAGCCTAATCTCTATCGGGAAAGCCAAAATGGATGCGCAAGTGCGAGGAAGCTTGAGCCCGGCATTAATCCGTCCTGTTATTTGTCCTGGGCCCCGACGGCTCGGCTACGTGGAGTCGATATCCTCTGTCCCCACTGGCCAGGACGGCCTTGACCCGGAGATGCTTGCTTTAACGATTTCGTCAGAATTTGTGCCACCGTGGTCAAAATTCTGGGGTCGGAGAGGGGGGGGGGGGGGGGGGTTGCTTAGTTTCGATCCGCGCGAAGTGCACTTACACAGCTGTACCAGCGCAATGTCATACCACATGGTTTGATGACGACGGACCAACCAGCTGCGACGCTCCTCGTATCGTAGTCTCCATGCTGGCTGCTGTCCCAGGTCCCCAAATGGAAGAGGGACCGACTGGTTGAAATAAAAGACGCACCCATTGACCCTTCCGACCCCTATGCACCCAGCCCATACTGTACTGTACCTGTCGGAATCTCCTAGTTCATAGGCAGCTCGTCAGCTTTTCTCGGTTCACTGAGGCCCGATTCGATCATTCCACCGCTATCAACATCCTGGTGGATGGGTGTTGGACTGTCTGGCTGACTGGCTGACTGACTAGCGGTCAAGAAGCTATAACTACTCATAGTATTACGTACGCAGTAGGTAAGTTATTTAAACACTCTTTAGATCTAAGGTAGGTTATTTTCAGAACCGAGGTACAAGTACGTACACAGTATTCCGCAAAACTTCCGTTCAAGATGACAATAGTCAAGCCCGTTCTCCTCTATAACCAAAACTCGATCCCCTCTTCCTGTATCCAAACAGAGTCACGTTTGATCGGTAGTCAATAGCACTAACTCAGCATGTAGTTGTTAACTTAACGTACTACGGAGTAGTTATGGCCTAGTTGTTTGCTAACTAGTTTCAAGTGATTCACGGGGGTTACCGAGCCGTTGATTCCCCTGACCGTATCGGAGTACGGCTCGTTCTCCTCCCGAAGTGAATCAATACGGCCGGCTGTACTCTCTGCAAATACTATGGGTAGCCCGTCGCCAGTCAGGCCGTTAGGACATAAAGCTGCATATCATTTTGGATACAAACCTATCCGTGCTATGTGATAATGACCCCTTTTTCGTTGCTTCATCTCCTTCTCCTTTGACAGACCGGTTGGCGATCAGACCAAACGGCAGTTAACCACTCCTGCAGCAGCTGGGCATGAGCTAAGGTGCGGGAGAAAATCACCTCGCATCCGTCATCCCGGGCCGGATTCCCCAGCTGCACAGCTACGAGCGAGCGGACGGGGAGGAAAGGGGAAGAAAGGGGAGGAGAGAGATGAAAAAGAGGAAAAAGAAAAGAAAAGGACAAAGAAAAAGCAAACATGCATCGCATCTGCAGTTGAAACTCCGATCCGATCTTATAGGGTATGTCCAGTATGTACACTCATCCACGAGCCACCGCCTAATCTGCATAGCTGTAAAGAAAAAAAAAAAAAGTGAACCGTGAAGGACTGAATCTGGATCTCTAAGATGTGAAGTCATTTCGATTGCTAAGACAAGACTTTTATTACTGTATAAAATCAATCCGATGAATGAGAAAGAAAAAGCGAGAGAGAGAATTGTAAGCCACAGATACCAAAAGAGAGCAGGCTGCGTAAACAATTCTTTCCCCCGCGATACACAAAAACCAGGGTAAGTTAGCTTGTTCATGTCCTATCGCCCAGCACGGTTTAGATTCCGAGACTAGAAAAGGAAGACCTGAATTCCATCGGAGATGGTTCCCCACATTTAGCGGGGCTGCAGTTGATGGTTCTAGCATTGCTGCGACATGCCTACTTCTATGGTTCTGTCTGTTTGTGTGCGTGTGTGCGCGGGTGCGCACGCGCGTATACATGTTTCTACGTGACTATAGAGCTAGCATAACTAGTTGAGAGTGGATATGGAAGCACTCTGTACCAGAAAACCAGAGGTTTGACAAGGATAATGAGCTCCTCGGTTGCCTCTTGTTGTCGGTCGCAGTGCCGGCGTCGGACATTTCAACTTGAAAGTTCCATTGGCTGCCAAAAATCCCTCGTGCAAACTGGATCTCAGCACCCGGCACTGAGTTAGCTTAAGCTACTAAGTTGACTACAGTACGTAGTACTCCCCGTAATTGGAGTAGGCAAATCACTCAATTCACTACTTACCCTAATAGACTAGTTGATTATCATCAACTTGTCACGGACCAAGGTAGTTAACTAATTCCTTACTAGGTAATCATCTGTCCATCAGCTTACTTTAAGTCACCTTCGAAACCTTCAGTTTCCAACTCCCGTCTGGTCAAAGCGCTACATTCGGGCCAGTCAAAATGAGCTTGGCTGAGCGATCATACATGCCTAGCCGGACTATCATTGCAGTCAATGACAAGTCGCCTTGACTCGGTTGCAAGGTTGCCCCTCCCACTTGATCTTCATCATTTTCGCGGCCTTTGTAGTTAGGGTTAGACTTTCCGTATGAGTGAGCAAGGTGACCAGCTGAGGATCAGGTGAAATACAGTAAAAGGATGGATGGATCACGAATGAATGGGCTGGCTTAGTCTAACTGATAGCTTACTGCGGAAAGATGACTGATGGCAACATGGTTATCAACCGGATCTCCGCAAATAAACGCATGGAAGAATAAATTGACTGCTGTATGGTCGGCATTGTGATCCCTACCTTAATAACGATAGCCAACCACATACCACCTATCATGCCTGGGGTTGCCTCAGCTCTTCTTACTTGGCACCGAGGCTGTTCCTTCTTTACTGCTTGTGTCCTCTGGTAGTATGTAGGCGGGTTATCGCTGGCCAAGGGAACCCACGTCATTTCGCCCAGCCTTGAGCAGGAAATGTCGAGGTCCAAGTGTGTATAGTATGTGTGCGTTATACCTAGAAATTAGGGTGCCGCTGCTCATAGGTAGTGATTTCCAACCCACGAAAAGGCCACTCTTGACGATGCTCGGCGGTGCAATGACCGCCAGAAGGCCCAAGGGTTCCCTTGACCCTGCGTCCTATCGTTGCTTGTCTCCAGAGGGGGTGTTACAACGCGATTGTGTCCGACGTTGTCAATCATGCCTAGAGGTCGAGTTTAGATTGCTCACAACCTCCTTCTATCCTGTTTTCGCACATCTGCTGACCCTCGCGGAGCCAGCATTGGCGTATGGCTGATAGTTGACTCCGGTCGAGCAGCAATGGATTCTGGTCAAATCAGAGGCCAGAGATGTACTCAATGTACTCATAGGAAGATGATCTGAGCACTGTCTCGGAGATAGCACACGAAGGCCAAGGACTCTCTCAAGGTAAACCCTAGCCTCCAGCGCGAACCCCCTCCCTCCCTTCAACGTTTTTTTTTTCCCGGACGAGCCACCAGTGTGTCCAGCTCCGGGTTCTGTATAAAGGAAGTTCATTCATACTTCGCAGCAGGCTGTCAACCCTATTGTCAATCATGCCAATGAGGGCTTACAACTGACAAGCTGTGTTGCAGAAACAGAGGTAGATCAGAGCGCTGCGGTCGACTGTTCCATGTGCCCGAGCATCCAAGACGCGCCCACATGGCAGATAGTACATAGCACTGTAGTCATGTAGATCAGTAGGTTTCAGCCTCTCGTCAATCGAAGAACTCATTCGGGTGCACTGCAGGGCAGTCTGGAAAATGGGACCGAGTCTGATCCGATGGAGGGGTAAGCTACCTACTCAGCATCTAGGATGGATGCATTTGCGCTTATAACATTGAGGGCGGGGCTTTTCAGCACCGGTAGTAGAAAAAGGCAGAGGCGAACAGTTTCTGATAGACCGATAATGGGTCTTCAAAAAGAGATTTCAGGCAAAGAGGGGGTTCCCACCCCCATTCTGACTTGCGCATACTTACCCCTCAGTTTGCGGGTAGCCTGATTTCACAATTGAACTATGGGCAAATCAGAGTGGGGGGGTAGCAAGACGCCACCACCGGCCAGCTCGCTGCACTCCGAAAGAAGCGCCACAGCAAAGCTATACGATATACCATGAAGACTACAACTTATTCGTATATCTAGTATTTATGGTTTGGATCGAGATCTGAGTCTCAATCTGACCACCCACTTAAGTTAGAGCCACCGAGTTGACTTGATGATAGTCCATGATAATGATGGGGGTGGATTGAGGCTGTGCAGAATGCAGGGCGTCTTCAGCAGTTCTGATCCGAAACCTAGTCTTCCTTCAGTTTAGATTAACTTGACTAAGTTAGTAACTTACAAACAAGTTAACTAAGTCAACAGGTACTCATATGTAATCACCCAGAGCTGCTGAGCTGAGGGTTGACTAATCCATTTGCGGCCGGCGAGGGAGCTAACGTCATCTACAAATTGTGCGAGGCCAAGCGAATCCAACCGTGTAGGTCTTTCTTCTTACATACTCGGTAAGGTATTTCCGGTCACGGACAGTGAACGTCATCCGACTAGAGCAAAGGGGACAGCGGAGAATATTCGAAAAAGACCGTCACAGACTTCTCAAGGGGGACCTGCGCTTTATGACGATGGATCAATGAGTCAATGGGCCAACAAGTGGCAGCAGGGGAGCCAGAACTGATGAATGTGAACGGCTTAATTCCAGGGATCTTCCGCACTGCAATGGAGTCTTGATGAGAAATCCCACAGGACGCCTGCCTTAACTTAGCCCCCCTAAACCAAGTTTAGAAGGTCAAGGGGAGGCCAACGCCCGCGCCACTTTGTTCTTGATTATTGTTACATTCTTAGTACTCCGTACCGTTGGCAGCATGCCCTGGTTGGTTTCGTATTTGTTCAATCTGTTCAATTGTGCTGTGCTCACCTGTAATTTACAGGGTATTCCATGTACTGTACCATACATACTAAGCAGCTCGTACTGTACTGTTTTCAGTCAGTAGTGTACAATGTACAAATGTACTGTACTACTGTACCCGCCCTGTTTGCTTCTCTATGTACACACATGCAGGATCTAGGATGGGATGGACTCTTTCCTTCGTTCCTGCCTGCTTGCTGCAAGAGCGCCAGGTCAGCAGAAGGGTGAGGAACCGAGACCGGGGATATAAGCAATCCTGTTCCTTCATGCATTCATGGTTTGAATTTGCAGACCGACCTTCCATTGCTGACTCTCCTAGCAAGCTCAGAAGATGGGTTGCAATCGGGGGTTCTGACAGAAACGGTGTGGCTGCCATTGACGGTGAAAACCATACGGTGACAGTACCAGGCGGGCCAGCTCAGAGGGCAAGAGACTCACTCCCACTCCTTTCCTCTCGACTCACCCGAGGCCCCCGAAGCCCTGCGAACGAGGGGGCCGAGTCAGCTTAGGACTTTATCACTTTAAGCTATCTACTGTAACTACATATATGCGAAAATCCACTAGATACTGTACTCATTGGGGGAACCCAAGATGGTAAGGTCGAATGGGAGAATTCGGGGGGATTCTTCTGTTCCTCTCTCTCTCTCTCTCTCTCCCCCTCTCTCTTGTGTTTCTCTCTCGTCTATCTCTCGCTATTAATCCTCAATGAAATATGACTGGAAAGTCTCTCAGCAACTTGGTAAGGTAACTTTACAAAGAGCAGTCCCTCCTTCGATATGGATGGAGTATGCAAGTGTGCGAGGAACCCAAGGTCGACTCAAATAGTCAACCGACTTGATATTATCTAGTGAAGTAGTTACGGAGAGTTGATCGTTCAGTCGACACTAATTATTATAGAGGGACAGCAATTCAAAGGGAACAGAAATTATTAATAATAATAATAATAATAAAATCGAAAGAGAATATACTGTAGAAAGAAGAAGGACAACAGAAAGGTAAACCCACTCAATCACTTTCCATAGTCCACTGCAGTGCCCACTGCCCACTGCGTACTCCGTACTGCGCAGTATTACTGATTGGCCTGGTTACTTACTTACTTGCTACCTAGTATTTACCATTCCCTCCTCCCTCATGATAATCGGATACTCACTATTTCAACCGCGCTCCCCCGTAGCTACACTTTCTACTCTTCTCCCTCCTTCCTCTCCCTCTCCTCATCTACAGTACATCGTCCTCCTTTCATCAAGCGTGCGAATACCTTCCGGGTGGTAATTTTGCTCTACTCTGCTTTCGTACCTTTAGTCCCAAGGATACAGTCGGCCGAATCTCCGTTGTGCATCTCAGTATTCGAATTCCACTGGGTTCTCGTTTCTTGAATCGTTCTTATTGCCCTGTTATTATTCATATTGTTCGTTATTTTTTCGTTGAGTTTGATTACTCCTGCGGCTTAGTTCATTCAGGTTTTGAGGGTTCCAGCTCCTTCTCGGTATTTTATTTTACAAATCACCCCTGCAACGTTTGCAAATTTCCCAGCACCAGCCGTCGGTCCGTCACTTTCGTCACACCTCTTCTTCCTCTTTTCATCCTAAAGACAAAAAGCCGTCGCCTCAGGCCACCGACCCATCACTGGGGCCACCGCAACTTTTTTTTTACCCTTCCCACCCCCAACTCCCCCCCTCCCCAGTTCTCTCCAATCCTCTCCGGTTCTCTTTCTATATTCAATTCTCTTTCAAAGTTATCTTTGGCCTTAGCAGCTTCGTGCTGTAGGCTTCCTTGCTCCCTCCCTACCTCGTGGGGGCATTCTCGCTCCTCTTCTTTTCCGTCTATACCATCTCATACTACCGCACATGACTCCACAATCGATTTCACCTGTACCTTCCGCAGTCTCTTCAGCCGCAACGTCACAAATTTTCAACGACTTTGGAGATGGAGAGTCCCAGGTAACACGTGCTTTTGCGGGCACACATCTGTCCGAAATGAACGGGGACGCCCTCCCCTCCTCCCCTGGGCCAGTGAAGGCACCCAAACCGACCATGGCCAACCGCATCTCTCGTATGTTCTCGAATACGGGCAAGACGACCCTCAAGGAGTTGGATCCGCATCGCGATTTTTCGGATAGCAGCTCGGATAGCATCAAAGCATCCTCCAATGGTAGTACGAAACCTTCGAAACCCTCGTCTCGCCCTACCTCAAAACCCTCCTCAAGAGCGCCATCCCGTCAAACGTCTACCAGAGAGGACGCAAACGAACGCAAGATCAAATCCAGCAGCGGCAAGGACCAAAAAGAAGCTCCAGTCGCTCATCGACGCTTTGAGGTACCCGGCGATGGTACTCACCTACATCACCTCAAGAGTGCCAGAAGGCAGGAGAAGTTGACCGACTTGCTCCGCGATATGCTGGGTGGCGGGAGAAAGAAGGAAGATCATGTCGAGGAACAGCAACTGTCTCTCATGTCTACATGGATTGACCAATTCAAGACCGAACGCGACAAGCTTGCTGCAGACAAGAAGGGCGGCCCCAATGCCACGGCCTCGCTAGTTGATAAGTACGGCAAGTGTCAAGAGATCGTTGGTCGGGGTGCTTTCGGTATTGTCCGCATATCTCACAAGGTGGACCCCAAAGACTCCAGAGTCGAGCAGCTTTATGCCGTCAAAGAATTTCGCCGTCGGCCCCAAGAAACTACGAAGAAGTATCAGAAGCGGTTAACATCGGAATTCTGCATTTCCTCATCTCTCCGCCACCCCAACGTGATACATACCCTCGATCTCCTGCAGGACGCCAAAGGAGACTACTGTGAAGTCATGGAGTACTGTGCAGGCGGTGATCTGTACACACTGGTATTGGCCGCTGGCAAATTGGAAGTTGCCGAGGCCGATTGCTTCTTCAAGCAGCTCATGCGGGGTGTTGAATACATGCATGAAATGGGTGTCGCCCATCGCGACCTGAAACCCGAGAACCTTCTGCTGACCACCCATGGAGCTCTCAAGATCACGGATTTCGGAAACGGCGAGTGTTTCCGTATGGCTTGGGAGAAAGAGGCCCACATGACTGCTGGGCTCTGTGGTTCGGCCCCTTACATTGCCCCGGAGGAGTACATTGAGAGGGAATTCGACCCAAGAGCGGTCGACCTGTGGGCGACTGGCGTGATCTATATGGCTATGCGGACTGGGCGACACCTTTGGAGAGTCGCCCGCAAGGATGAAGATGAGTTTTATCAGCGGTATCTGGAGGGTCGCAAACATGAAGATGGTTATGCTCCCATCGAAACTTTGCATCGGGTAAGTACACCGTTGACCTCGTGTTGGCAGACGTGTAGACTGACACGTAGCTATGCAGGCTCGTTGCCGGAACGTCATCTACTCTATTCTGGATCCCAATCCTTCTCGCCGAATCAATGCCTCGCAGGTGCTCAAATCCGAGTGGGTCCGTGAGATCAAGCTATGTAAGGCCGGTGAGGAAGGATTCTAAAACAGAACTCAACAAGCAACATATCCACGCTGTTGGGCTCCCTTTCAACGCACCGGGGATGGTCGCTTGAGAAGGGGCCCCATGGTCTCAGCTGGCTCAATCTTGCGTTAGTCGGGGCTGTGCATCCCTTATTGAGAAGTCTATCTCTTGCTTGGTGTGTGTGTTCCAAAAACAAAACCATAGACCCGGGTGGTTCATGTGTCTGCCGTTCTACAGGCGAATTTTCTTTTCCTTCCGCCTGCTTCTTTCTCGGTCTGTCTTGCGACTGATACCATAGAAGGGGGCTCTTTTGATTCCGAAGCTATCATACCGGCGCATGTTTTTCTGTCTCTACCACTACTTTATACTCCTGCCTACTAGCTTATGGGTTTAGTTTGGTCGTCATGTTTCCATGTCAATGCAACGAACAGTCATGATCTATGAGCCACCTTCTCCTACTTTAGCATGTTTGATGCAACATATATCCATTTGAATTGACTAATCGTCGCTCACGCTTCAAGGGCACCGCCCTTTTGTCTTCTCATGTTGTTCCTCTTGCCTTTCTTCTTCTCTTTTCTTCTCTATTCCTTTCTTGGAATTTCTTTTGTTGTGGTGATTCTCTCTTCTCGAGATCGGCTGGACGATCAGTCTCTCCTTGGGGAGGATATTATGAGTTGGCTCAGCTGGGATCTGTCCTAACCATTAGCGTCTTTATCGTTCGCTTGCGTCTTCTTCACTTTCCGGTCGTTCTTGGTGTCAGGGCCTGGAATTATTGTACCATCAAAACTATTATGGGACCGGGGATCTAGCATGCGTGTTTCTGGGATACCCTCTGGCGGCATATTCTCCGATTTGACCATCTATGCCATTCTTCTCATTACTCGTTCCTTGGCTGAATATTCTTGCTCGTCATCTAGTCATCTGAATGCTGGCTATACTGCACAGCGGCGTTTGTTGTACCCAATCCTGTCCGCGACTCAACAAATAATGGTTCCTATGTACCGTACCAATCATGGATTGTTTTAAGATAGTTAAATTGACCTGGTATTGCTTCCAGTACGTAGGAGCACGAGGCTGCCTGCTGCATTTATAGGCCAGCGATCAATGAACGTCAACAATGAGTTCGAGTTCCGGCGCATCTAGTCACCTTAGTTACTGGTCCAATTCACGACCAACTAAGAGCCGCCCAAAATGCGTACAATGTGTAAGACAACGGTTTCAGCCTCGGTCGCGATCAAAATCCCACGGTCGGATTCCCGATAACTGGCAGCTGCTCCACCGCTACCACCACGGACAAGACCTGCCCATGTAACTGCCAGGTAACCCCAAACACATGACTGGCACTTGTGCTGCATGCACAGACTACACCGGAATGTGATTCCGCATTGGATTTGGTGTTTATGTCTTGTTCGACCGGTCCAGCCCAGGACACACGACGCAGGCCATGCACACTCCCATATTGTAATAATAATGTACAGTACTTACTCTGTATTATTGTATGTATATGTATATGTATATGTACTGTACGTACGTACGTATGCAGGAAAGAATGCGCCGGGCAACAAGCCAGATCAAGCTTGCTTGGCGCATCCCGCAGTCCGAAGACGAACTCGAGCTTTTAGTCAATGGAATTAGTTAGTTAGTTAGTTTCCTCAGCGGGCCGACTGACTGTCATTGAGGAGTTTGAGGAGTGGAGATCGACAGCTCACCCAGCATGTTTTCTTGACATGGGATGGGTTGTGTGTTATTGATGCCGGGCTCACCGTCTGTCTATCTGGTAGTTCAGGGTCATTTACTGACTATGAGTATGGAGTAAACCCTCCACTTCAGGATCTAGAGGCCCTCTCAGGCTGCAACTGCTACCCTCCACCCCCTTGAGTCTGAGTGCTCATGTTGTGGCTGTCTGATTCCGTTGGGAAAATGTCAAGCTTGGCACTGCAGCCAGCCCTATGCCAGCTGATGAAGAAGGACGAAGACGAGGATGGAGTTCCGGATGATCTTCCGCTCAGGGTAGGCAGCACCATTCTCTTCTCTCTTGGCGCAGAGGCGAGCTTCTGAACCTCTTACCTAACAGTCAGTCATTCTGGTTCGATTGAGAAGTCGATCCCCGCCAACCGCTGCAAGGCTGATGGCCAAGAGTCCGATATCGGGTGGATCTTGGCGGACCAATTAATTGACTGGCTTCTCTTTAGGACATTAGTACTCGAGTATGATTTCGAAAACGAGCACTACGATGTAAGTACGGGGTATCTACGGACAGTGCATCCATACGGAGTACTGGAAGGGTTCTACTGTAATGGCTTAGGGTCCATTTGGGTTTTGGCACGAGGATCTTCTTCTCCGAGGCCCCGAGGGAGGGTTAAATTTCATACAAGTATGTATGTACACAGTGACTATGTCATGCTGTGCCTGTCGATCCTTCATTGGACCAACACATGGTATTGTACTTGTAGGCCTCATACCTAGTACTCGAAGATCATCACTTTGCTTGCACGAGGGCTCCTCAAAATCCGGGGTGCAGAGCAACCGGATGTTCAGGGTCTGGAGCCTGGTTCGGCCGACGATGCGCTGCAATGACTTGGCGAAGGAAAGAATTGCGCCAGAAAGTCAGAGGATAGATAGCCTTGACATGTTGTAACGTGTATTTGCAGTGGTTGACTGACTTACTGAGTAGCATACTGACATCACTCCCTTAACTAAAGGAAGTTACATAGCAGAAGGCAGGAGGCAAGGCTGCAACGTTTCTTGATACTGGCAATATATGACGTAGAAGAGGCCCAGCAGATATAGTGATACCAACAGTGTACAGTACTGTGACTTACAAAGGCACAGCCCGTGCTGCTACAGTACACTACAATACAGAAGTCATCCGTCCGCGGATCCCGGGCTATGCTTACAGATTACAATACATGTGTACGTAATATGCCACAGTTACAGTAGGGCTGTAATGCAGAAAACATTACAAGACAGAGAGAGCACCGCCACATCATTCATAATTGGGTCCGCGCCACAGTGATGGCAGCCTGCCTTGTCCCGCATTCATCGGGCATCTCCAATCTGCTTTCGGAAAAGAGGCACCCTTTCCACCATTACGTTTCACTCCCTCGGACTTGAACTCGAACAACGAACTCGCCATTTGTTTGGTAAACACTTGTGCAATCCTTATCGGAGCGCCTATCTCTTGCGGCGGCATATCCCAATCGGTTCTCTACATCTAGCCATCCAACGCCCTATCTCGAAGACTTCACCCCCGACTCGCAAGACCCGTCGTCATCATGTCCTGGGCAGGTGCGCAACGCCATCCCTGCTTCTTGCAGTCGCCGCCTATCCGCTTGAGACCTCTACTCTAACTCGTCTGGACTCTTTAGGGTTTAAGAAAAATGTGAACCGCGCAACGACGCAGGTGATGATGAAGACCGGTATGTTTGGCTGCCTGCATACCCCGCGATGAGATTGTCTTCTGTCATCATCCCCCTCGACCGATCACGACCACCGGCGGCTGACTTGGAATACTTCTTGCGGACTAGGCCACGTGGAGCGGACCAACGATCGCGATTATGAGATTGAGGAAAGGTAAGGCATTTCGGGAAACGAACTGGTGATTAGCGGTCTGGTCCGGGTCACTGATAGGCTCCGACTCAGGCGGTATCGGACCATGGAGGCTGCTGCCAACCGGCTACAAAAGGAGGCCAAGGGATATTTGGATTCGCTGCGAGGTGTGTTTTCTCTCTGAAGCCGCTTGCGAACCATTGGGAGGTCCCCGAGGACAGATTGCTAATGCGCAGACAATTCTATTAGCGATGACCGCCTCCCAGATGCGCATCGCCGAGACGATCGATGCTTTTTACGGCGATGCGGGTACACGCGATGGCGTCAGTCGGAGCTATAAGCAGGCGGTGGAAGATCTAGACGCTGAGACGATCAAAGCCTTGGATGGACCCTATCGGTAAATACTCCTCCTCGGCGACTGCCGTCGATGCTCTTGCTGGTCAATGCTGATTAGGCTGCTACAGGTCGACCGTGCTGGAACCCATTTCGCGATTCTGCGCCTACTTCCCGGATATCAACGAGTGCATCAAGAAACGCAACCACAAACTCCTGGATTACGACTCGATGCGGGCTAAGGTGAAGAAGTTGGTCGAGAAGCCTGACAAGGACGCCACGAAACTGCCCCGGACCGAGCGCGAGATGGAGATCGCCAAGCAGGCGTATGAGCAACTGAACGAGCAACTTTTCACGGAGCTACCGCAACTGATTGATCTCCGGGTCCCGTATTTGGACCCGAGCTTCGAAGCCCTGGTCAAGATCCAGCTGCGCTTCTGTGCCGAGGCGTACTCGCGCATGGCTCAAGTACAGCAGTATCTGGATGCGGAGACGCGGGATCAGTATGCTCGGGGAGATTTGGACAATCGGGTGGAAGAAGTGTTGCAAGAAATCCGGGACCTAAGCATAGCGGGCACTGTGTGAGGCTTCGATTGTCGATCATGTTCTTTTTCAGAGCAAAGGGGAAGGCGTTCCCAATAGTTGCTATTCTTTCTCGGATTTGCGCTGTCGCTATTACTACCCCATTTCTTCCTCGATGGGCTGCCTTTAATCCTTGATTCGCTCGTGCGTCGAGCAAAGGGTGTTTGGGAGGGGGGAGAGAGGAGGGAGGAGTGACTCTCTATCTTCCAGCTCCTTAGCTAGACACGGAGCATTTGTGTAAGATCTAATTAGACTCTGGATTCGCGTTCCTTTTCATATAAGGGAATGAACTGCATTTCATGGGTATCTGTATAATATACGGCTGGGTCATGACTCCCCCAGCATGAAAATCTATCTGCTTGTCCGCTGCTTGCTCAATACATTGTTTCCATCCTTCCGTTTATGATGATTTGATTCACTTGAGCTCATCGTCCGACCGGTAAAACTCGTCGGCCAGGAGATCCATGACGCGACCCGCCGCGGCGGCAATGGCATCCAACTCCGTCTGGGACATCTTGCCCAGGACATATTTCGAGACGGCCTCGGACGTTCTCTCCTTGGGGCGACCGATGCCCACGCCGACGCGCATCACCCTCGGGCTTGTCGCCGACTTGGCCGGGTAGTGTTTCTTGGAGCGCAGGACGTCGAAGATGTTCTGGAGGCCATTGTGGCCGCGCAGGCTGGCCTCATTCGGACCCCCGCGGCGGACCTTGACCTTCCCCAGCGGCGCCTCCAGCTCATCGTGCAGGATGACCAGGGTCGGTTTGAAGTCGCGCACGTTGCGCGGATCGGTGCCCCGGCGCTCCCACTCGGGCAGCTGCCGCCCTGGGGCCGGCAGGGGCAGGCTCGCGTCCGGGATCGTCAGCTCCCCGCGCTCGGCCAGCTGCTGGTGGTTGACCCCGGCGCTGGGGAACTTCTTCATCCACGTGCTGAACGCTGGCACAACTTTCCCGCCGGAGACGTTCATCATGGCCGGCGACTCGAAGGTCTCGTAGAAGTAGGGCCGCCCGCCCCCGCGGCCTGTATGGGGCACCCGCGCGCGCAGGAGCGGCAGAAGCGCATCCAGCAGGATGTGCCCCGCGCTGTGCCGGGTTTGGCGGTAATGCTGGGGGAATCGGTTCCCGATCGAGGCGATGAATAGGAAGCGGTGCGGGACTTTGAGTATCGGCCCGGCTGCGGCTGCGGCTGCGGGAGAGGTGGGAGATATGGACATTGGTTGGAGGGAGGAGTTGTTTGGTGCACACAGGGGAGTGTGTGTGTGTGTGTGTGTGTGTGTGTGTGTGTGTGTGTGTGTAGTGTATGGTGTATCGTACAGTACAATGTGAAGGTGGTTGTTGGTGTAGGTGTTGTAGGTGTTGTAGGTGTTGTAGGTGTTGTTCAAAGTAGTGCCGGAGAAGGCATTATCGTTTTTTTTCCAAGTTCCCTTTTTTTCTTTCTTTTTTTTTTTTCTCTAGAAAAACCCCTCCGACTGGCCCTTGATCTACAAATACAATCAGATCAGGGCTTTCTTCCACCCACCCACCCAGCCCCTGGTGGCTTACTTCTCTCATTGTCCTTCTCTTACCTCCAACTTACCACCACCGCTCGGGCCCTTTCTTCCTATAACGAGTGTCGTTGATGTCATTTCCCCATATACCTAAGGGTTATGACCTGACAATAAGGCGGAAAGCCCCCCCCATGCTGGGCAAGGAGGACCCAACCACTCCATTCGTCTAGTCTGCGGCCATTTACTGTGATACGGCTGCATTAATTCGAAAAGTGCTGGATCTTCGCTACTAGGTGCGCTCGGAACCTTTTTCTAAGCAACGTCGAGAGTGCATATAAAGACTATATGGGAAAAAGAGCCTTGAGCGTCATGCATGACGGAATGAGATAGTCGTAGGATGATATCCTGATGTGATATGAACAAGCAAAGAAACCCCTCCCCCAATAAAAACAGGGCTTCGGGTAAAGCAACCAACAAAACGCCCATCCAAACCCCAATGCAAACAAACATGGCTGGATATCTTCGAGATGAACAATGGGAGAAAATGCATCACAGCTGGAACTTGGTGCGGGTCTTCTCCATACCACCCTTCCATTCCCACTCCTGGCCACTAGCCCGTTGTATACCCTTATCGATCCGGCGCAGCTTCAGGGTGAAGCGGGGTCCCAGTTCCTGCATACCAGCTCGGATGCCCTCGGCACCCTTCATCTCCTTACCATCCGCACCTACAACTGCCTTTTCAGTCTCTCGCTTCTCGCGGAAGACGTAGCGGTGACGACGAAAGAAGAGATAATCGCGGCTATTCAAAACGGTGACGACTTGTCGGCCTTGAACTTCCGGCTGGGCGGGGAACAAGGTGCGGAATAGATGGGCTGTCAAGAGACCCAGAGGAGTGCGGAAGTTGTTCAGGATGAGCTCGGGGAAATGATCGGTGGCGTTTCCGTGCCCAGGAATGCGTTTGCCTTCAACCCAATTCGACATGGAGAAGTGGAACATGGGACCAGTCGGCAGGTGTACGATATCCAGGCCGGTGGGTTTCTTCTGATCTTCACGTAAGATAACCAGTGCAGTGTAGTTCCGATTCGAGGCGAATTTGGCGATCTCGCGGATGGAGAACTGATGAGCGAACCGATGGCGAGTGCGGCGGACATAGTGCGAGTTGGGGAAGAGGTCCGTGAGTAGCTCGGCCTCGTGATGAAGGGTTGAGTTGAGCGAGGTGGTGATGAGGATTTTGGGTGAGGGGTTTTCAAGGTTGAACAACGAGGGGAATTTGGCGGCCAGCGCATCCGGGACAAGACTGAGGTTAGTGCTCTTGGTCACTCGCGACGGGCTGGTCGCTCGCTCGGTAGCGGAAGGAAGAGCTGATTTGCGCCGTCCACGAGAGTCGTCCGCTTTTTCATCTTCATCGCCCTCTCTATCATCTTCATTGTCTTCCTCCTCGTCGTCGCTGCTAGCAAGCATACTGTCCACATCGTCATCTTCATCATCATCGTCCTGCGACTCTTCATCCCCCGACTTTTCGGGATTTTCCAAGGATCGATTCAATTCATCCTCCTCTTCCTGCTTGCGTCTCTTGATGCGCTCCACATCAACACTCAATCCCAACCCATCTTCGACGTCACTGCCGGCGTCATCCCATACTCGCTTCCGATCAATGGTAAGTGGGATATTGCGCTTCAACCGTTCCTCCTTCAAGCGGGGGTTCTTGGCCTCTTCCTTCTTGAAGGCATATCGTTCGGTGCGGCGAGCGGAATCCTTGGCGCGCTTTCTCTTGATATGAAGCATCTGACGGCGAAGTTTGTTGCGCGGTTTGAGTTCCATACTCGCATCAGGCGGCGGCCGAGCGAGGGCCTTTCCTGATCCCATCCTAGCGAATCTGTCAAGATATTTCTCACAATTGACTTGTGCTTGTGTGACTGACGCTAGGCAAAAAAGACTACTGGAGGGGAAAAAAAGAATTGAGACGGGCGGAATGATATCGGGACTGGAACAACAGCTTCCGGCGGTGAGAACCCGATCTGCTGACATTACGAGCCGGGGACAACAACCATACCCAATCAGGAAATGTGGAAGTTTTTATGCCCGTTCTTTTTGCATGAAAGCCAGCAATCATTCTCCAGTTCCACCCAGGCCAATTTAATTTCAATTTATCATCATCATCATTTCAAACCAGCGAATTGGCTGGTCTGACGTGGTGGTTGAGTGGTAGTTTGTAGAGACGTGGCGGATGACTCACTCGCAGCATTGCTCTCGTCTTTCTGCTCTCCCTCGTTTCATCTCTTCTCCTCTCCTGGTTCGGCCACCGCCGCCGCCGCCGCCGCCGTCGTCTTTTCTTCCCCGCCGCCGCTGCCCACTTACTCTTTCTTCACTTCATTCCGCTGCCCCTCTTTTTCTTGCTTCAATCCCCGCGACTTTCGTCTCGTCTCCCTTCTCCTCCCTCCCCTCCTCCTCCTCCTCCTCCAGACTTTTCTCTACGTCGCCCCTCCTTTCTAAGAGTCATATTGCTCAATCTAGTCCAAGCCAGAAGAAAAAGAAGAAAATGGCTACGATCAACACCCGGACCGGTCAGGTCGTTGACCGCAGCGTTTTGGACTCTATGCTGCGCCGCCGCCTCTTCTACACCCCCTCCTTCGAGATTTACGGCGGTGTCTCCGGTCTCTACGATTATGGCCCGCCCGGCTGTGCCGTCCTGAACAACATTGTCGACCTGTGGCGCAAGCACTTCGTGCTGGAGGAGGATATGCTCGAGGTCGACTGCACCATGCTGACCCCGCATGATATTCTCAAAACCAGTGGTCACGTCGAGAAGTTCGCCGATTGGATGTGCAAGGATCCCAAGACCGGTGAGATTTTCCGCGCTGACCACCTGGTCGAGGAAGTGCTTGAGAGCCGCCTGAAGGGCGACAAGGAGGCCCGTGGACAGAAGGTTGAGGTGGACGAAGAGAAGGAAGCTAAGAAGAAGCGCAAGTCCAAGCAAACCAAGGCGGTCAAGCTTGATGATGCTGTCGTCAAGGAGTACGAAGAAGTCCTGGCTCAAATTGACAACTTCGACGGTCCTGCTCTCGAGAAGATCATCGCCAAGTACGATATCCGCAACCCGACCACCGATGGCAACCTCCTCCCTCCAGTGGCTTTCAACCTGATGTTCCAGACCTCCATTGGGCCTAGCAGCAACATGCCTGGTTTCCTGCGCCCTGAAACCGCCCAGGGTCAGTTCCTCAACTTCCACAAGCTGTTGGACTTCAACCAGCAATCCATGCCGTTCGCCTCTGCCTCGATCGGCAAGTCTTTCCGTAACGAGATCTCCCCCCGCGCTGGTCTGCTGCGCGTGCGTGAGTTCCTGATGGCCGAAATCGAACATTTCGTTGACCCCGAGGGCGGCAAGAAGCACGCCCGCTTCGCCGAAGTCAAGGACGTTGAATTGTCCTTGCTCAACCGTGACGTGCAGCTGTCCGGGCGTACTCAAACCGAGAAGATGACCATTGGCAAGGCCGTGGAATCCGGACTGGTGGACAACGAAACCCTGGGTTATTTCTTGGCTCGTATCCAGCTTTTCCTGCTCAAGCTTGGTGTGGACCCTAGCAAGCTTCGTTTCCGCCAGCACATGGCCAACGAAATGGCCCACTATGCTGCTGACTGCTGGGACGCTGAACTACAAACCAGCTACGGCTGGATCGAGTGTGTCGGCTGCGCCGACCGCAGCGCTTACGATCTGACGGTGCACAAGAACAAGACTGGTGCGCCCCTGGTTGTGCGCGAGCCTCGCGCTGAGCCCTTGAAGATTGAGGAGTGGCAGATTGATTTGGACAAGAAGAAATTCGGCCCCCGTTTCAAAAAGGATGGTAAGACGGTTGAGGCCGCTATTGAGGCCCTCTCTCAGAATATGCGGGAGAAGCTCTCTCTGGACCTGACACAGAACGGCAAGATCGAGGTGCCTGTCGACGGTGTCGGTGCCGGCTCGGTCGAGCTGGACAGTGAGCTGATCAAGATTAAGAAACGCACTCGGGTGGAGAACGTGCGCGAGTACACCCCTAACGTGATTGAACCGTCCTTCGGTATTGGTCGTATCTTGTACAGCATGATGGAGCACGTCTACTGGTCTCGTGAGGGTGATGAAGCTCGTGGTGTAAGTTTATCTTCCTTTCTTGCTCAAACCACTGTCTTTGCCAAACGCACCGAACTTACTAAATCCGCTATGCAGGTTCTGTCCTTCCCCCCGGCGATTGCTCCGACCAAGGTGTTGATTGTCCCTTTGTCGACGCACGCCTCCTTCGCGCCCCTCAGCCAACGGCTGATGATGTCTCTGCGCCGAATGGGTATCTCCAACCGGGTGGACGATTCATCCGCTAGCATTGGTAAGCGCTACGCGCGCAATGATGAGCTGGGAACCCCCTTCGGTATCACTGTCGATTTCCAGTCGGTCAAGGACGAAACTTTCACTCTTCGTGACCGCGACTCGACGAAGCAAGTCCGTGCCAGTGAGGCGGAGATCTTGCAGGCCCTCAAGGCTCTCGTCGATGGTGAGGAGACTTGGGAGGACGTCCGCAAGCGTCTGCCTGAGTTCACTGGCCAGGAGGTTGATTAGACAAACCATCAATGGCCGTTGATGACGGCCTTTGACATCCCGTGTCCCTTCCCTTCTTAATAAAGAATCATTTTCATTCAGTTCATTCAATATCAATGTTATCAATGTTACTCCGTAGAGCGTATGTAGTAAATTGTTTTGGGCGCCAAGAGGAGCAAGCCAGCCTCCCGCGGTCTGGATTAACGTCATGGCCAGTTGGCGGCTCCCCATCCATTGCGTCTTCTTCCCATCTACTTTGTCGTTCTCCCTCGGTCTCTCTTACTCTGATCACCTCCCTTTTCATCTGTTCGTCCCCCTCTGCTCCTTCATTCATTCTTACCTACCGGACTCCTTTCTTCTTTGTTCTCCCTTTCTGCGAACTGTGACTGTTTGACTTTTGTGCTCGCCAAACATGGCGCCCTCCATCCCCTCCGCTAAGCTGACTCTTTCTTGTCCTCTCTTCGCCGCTGATTTCGACCCGCGCAACCCTGGGTTTCTGCTCGTTGCCGGTGGAGGAGGGGAGGGTCGCAGTGGGGTGGGAAACAAAATCGCAAGTCTGCCTCGTCGCCGCCTCGGTCCAGTCCTATGAATGTACCTGCTAACGATTATCCTGTGCTGTAAACAGGTCCTTCTCGATTCCTCCAAACGCCAAACGCTCACTCCGGTCGTGGATATTGACTTGTCGCGCGATGAAGATTCGGTAACCTCGCTGGCAGCCGCGCTGCCGACGGAGGACTCGGTCATTGCCCTGGCTGGCATCAACAGTTCCGTTGAAGAACAGAAGCGAGACAACAACCAACATTTACGGTCCTTCCGCATCGATTATCCTCCACGCAAAGCCTTTGGAGCCGATCAGGTCGTTGAGTCGTCAGATGACGGCTCGTCTGCGCCACCGACTCTTGGGAAGACTACTCCCTTGTCCCGCGCATCGCTCTTCCGCACAGCGAAGGACTCAAAATCATCTGACACCTATCAACGCCTTCTGCGCCTCTCCCCGTGGAAGTCCGGTGCACAATCCCCTCGAGTAGCTGCCATCGCAACCGGTCTGGCGCCGACTGGCGAGATCGTCCTCTTTAGCGCGACCGCTACCCCTGGGCAATCGGAGGTTATCGGTCGGATTCGGCTAGGCAGCGATGAGGAGGCTGAGGACATGGATATCATTGAACTGGACGACGAGACGGGCACCTTCCGCTTTGCCTACAGCAATGGTATCGATGTTTTCGTAGGCCAAGTTACTGCTGACACTCGCTCAAATGCTGCGCCGGACGTGCAGTGTATTTATACGACACCGGTCCCGGAGAATGGGCCGCGGACTAGGCCGAAGTTCCGGGCGTTGCGCTTCCTCTCGCCAACCAGTCTACTCCTTCTGCAGAACTCTCCCGATCGTAAGGGCTGTGAGCTGATGATCCTCGACCTCCGAAGCGCTTTGGTTCCCAATCCAGGGGAGAAGAAACCGCAACAGCAGCAGCAGCAGATGACCACTGGGAAAGCAAGCATCATCCGGCGTAAAAAGCTTCGCAAGACCATCAAAATTGGTCTTGGTTTGGATATCTGCCTTCTAGGCTCTGGGAGCGACGATCTCGTTAACCAGCAGCAGCAGGCCATCATCGCAGTCTCTGGCAGCGACCAGTCCATCGAGCTTCTAACCCTGGAATTCAATCCGCTCAGCGGCCGGGGCGGCTACGGCCCTCTCCGTCACTATACTACTCTCCCCGACGTGCACCCATTTTCCATGACCAAGCTTTGCTTTGCTCCCTTCCATTCACCCCAGCACCCTGTCTCGGCCGCGACTCCCCCGCAATACGTTCGATTGGCCTCGGTCAGTATGGGCAATACAGTCGTCGTCCATGCTCTCCCACTGTCCCCCTGCCCCCCCGCTAGCCGCAATCCTCGCTACGTCTTGTCTATGCCCGGGGAATCGGAGATCTGGACCCATTTCTCCAGCGGGTTTGCCGCCCTCCTCTCCATCCTCATTGTCTGCTTCGTCCTGCAGGCGTTCACCGAGATCCGGGGAGCAATGCCTCCCTACCTCGGTGCTACCGAATGGCTCCCCCCGCATATCCGCGACGCCGTAGCTCGACCATATTACCCTCCTCCTCCCTCCCCACTCCCTCCCGCTGACCTCTCAACCTCATCCCCGCAATCGGTTGTGGTAGCCAGAGCCCCCAACAACCGGCCCGTCTCATGTGCATCATCGACCCCTTCCCCCATCCCTGTCCTCACATCGGGCAAACCCTCGTTCATCACCTGCGATTCAGCTACGAATCTTCTACTTGTAGATTCCACCCCAGCAGATGCCCTTTCATCCTACCGCCGTTGGCGCGACGTCCAAGGGGCCGACCGCGCTCGGTGGATTCAGGGGCTTACAGAAGCATGCTACGGTCCAGTTTCCGAGTCGGATCTGGAGTCCGAGTCCGAGTCCAAGTCAGCGTTGGATGACGACTCCGTTCCGACCGGTGTGTTCTTCGGGGATCTGTGTCCTACCAAACCCGTTGAAGACCTGCCTTGATGGTTTGGGTCCTCCTTCCTGGCGGTTGTTTCGGCCCTCCCCGTTTTTATGCACTATTCTTGTGATACCGGGTTTTATCAAATTCGGGCGCTTAGCTGGGAGACCAAGATATAATGAAGTGATGCTGCCTGCCCTGCGTTGCTAGGCTTAATCAACGAACATGATTCAACGATAAAAAAGGGTTGGCTGGTCGAGTGATATTTTGTATACTCTCTTGGTTCTTGCCGCAGTCTTGAACCGTACAGTACCACAGCGGTTCGCTTGAACCATGCTCATCCTCATCTAGTGGCTGGGCTCAGCCCCTTCTTGTGGTTTCTACATGTATGCCTACTTACCTTACTTTGTGGTAAGGGTGTCAATATATGCTATGGGAGTATTGAATATGAACTCGTTTAAAGATTACAACATGGACACAAAGAGAGGATATTTTCTATTATTTGGTTCTATGTCCGTCCCTTACTTTTGAAAGTCGCATATGAAAACAACCACATAAAGGCTCTATTGCGTCGGTCTTCGTTCCTCATGAGGTCGACTGCGCTTCCTTCGCATGCCAGCAAACAGTGGTCAAGCTATCGTATCACGGATTCGTTGACTGACATAAATGGGTGGAAAATGAAAATCAACACAAGGAAACGGCGGCATCATTTGGACTGTCTATCGTCCACCCTTCCGTCTTTTCCGTCGACTGTGCCTTCCTCTATCATCAGAACGTCCGCGCATGTTCGGCAAAATAGCTTCTCGACTGACAAAGCAGTTTAAATCATCCAGCCTCTCACGCATCTTGCTGTTTCAAGATCGCTGCATCCCCGTGGGCAGAGACAATTCAGCAGAGACCATTCCCACAGCATCACGCAGCGGGAAGTGGGCGGGCAGCAAAATAAGAATTATGCACAAATGTAAAATGTTTAGGGAAAAAAGGCGAGCGAGGGCCATGGTAGGCCGAAAAAAGTCAGTATCAAAAACGCCGAAGCATCCATGCCAAGTCCGTGCGTAACAAAGTGTGGATATCACGATAAGAATTCGGGTGCAATGGCGGGTCGTCAAAGGGGTTAGCAAAATCAACCGGTGGTGCATAAATGTGACCCATATGTGTGGGAGGAAACAAGATCTGGTTTAAATCATCAAAGGGTACCGAATGAGCACTGTAGCATGGAACGACCCGCGCTGGGATCTCTCCCCTTTTCGCTTACTGTCCGCTGTTTTTCTTCCAGCGCAGCAGCTCTGCAAGGCTAGCCAGACTGCATCCCATCTTAAGGAACTCGTGTGCCAACAATTCGTCCGCCGTAGCACGGCTACGGACGTCCACGCAGAGGCAGACACTGAGGAAGGATTTGAGCTCTTTGCTGAGCTTTTCAGGCTTCTTCAGACGAGGAGTGCCGTTGGTGGCGATAAGATACAACGCCTTAAGGGGCTCCTCATTCAGGTACGGAGGCTCGGACTCGATCATCTCGATGGCCATGATGCCCAACGACCAACAGTCGACCTTGGGTCCGTATTCTTTCTGTTTCACAACCTCGGGGGCCATCCAGTACGGCGTACCAACCATGGTAGCCCGTTTGCTCTTAGACTCTGTGAGTTTAGCACAGAACCCGAAATCGGCTGTGATAAAAAAAAAAACAACGTAGTCAGTTATGGGAGAACATTTTCAACAATGTTCCAAGATGATCGCGACTCACTGATCTTAACGTGGCCAGCTCGGTCCAAGAGCACGTTGTCACTCTTGATATCACGGTGAATGATGTTCTGGTCGTGCAGATGAGCCAAGCCTTTGCAGGTCTAGTGAAAGCTCGAGTTAGTGTCTGTTACATGCAAGGAGGATCATTGCAACGTACCTCTAGACAGATGGTCGCAATCTGATCTTCCTGGATCACCTGGTTGTTGTCGATCACATCGGTCAAAGCACCTCCTTCCATGAATTCCATGACGACCCACAACTCGTTGCTCTGCTCTTGCAAGAACGAGTCGAGGAAGTTGACAATGTTAGAATGCTGACTGTCCTTCATGACGATAATCTCGTTGACAATCAGCTCCTTGCGTGGTTGGCTGCGCAGATCCATTTGCTTGATGGCCACTTGAGTTCGCGGCCCATACTGGCGGTACAGCTCACGGGCAACAGGAGATGTGGCATGCTCCTTGACCCGAGCCACATACACAGAGCCAGAGGCACCTTGTCCGATCTTGCGCTGTTTACTGTAGGACTCGTTCGGATTATCCTTCGAAACGACGGACCGCAACCGATCCATAACCTCATTTTCGCTCATAGCCGACATACGAACCTCCCTCTGTCGGGGCTCTGCCTTCTTGGTCAAGGCCGCTTCGGCTTGACGGACTCCATCTGGCACATTCGTTTTGCCTGTCGCCTGCTTGTTCGCAATGTTCAATGGTTTCACTGGCTGCACTGGCGCCGGGAGCTTGCTGGGGGGCGGGCCCTGAGCCTGCTGCGTTTTGGGACCACTGTTCGGAGTTCGTGCAGCTTGGGACTGAGCGGGGTATCTTGAGCTAGGCGAGGCCTGCTCTGTGCGTCCATTAGCATGATCCCCAGGTCGCTGTCCAGCCGTAGGCGGGGAAGGTGCTGGGCGCTGGGCAGTCAATTGACGCGAGGGATCAGGACGGGTCGAGCCCGGAGCCTGCGGAGCAGGGCGACTGGGCTTGTAGCGATCATCCGGCGATCCATACCCTCCCAGTTCCTTTTTCGCTAGGGGTACGCGAGTCTTAGGCAGTGAGGCATTATACGCATCCTGCTCGTATCTACTTTGCTCCTCTTCTCGCTGACGTGCCCTGCGAGCCTCTTCCTCTACGCGCCGCCGTTCCTGGTCTGCTAGCTCATTCATTCGCTCCAATTGCTGTTGCTGTTCCGCCGTACGATCAGACTGAGCAGGAGACGAGGCTGCCGAGCGACTAGTGGAGTACGATTGACTGGTATCCAGCCGTTGCGCGGGAGCGGGTGGTGGTGGACGAGGCGGCGCGATGGAATTGCCCACGGAGTTGTTGCTGTGTGGTTTGGCCTGCTGGGTCGGAGGCGAGGCCAAACCGGCGTAATATTGAGGATTTTGCTCGCGCATCTTGATGTCGGAGTAAAACTCAAGGACCTCGATGACGGCCTGGGGGTTATTCTTGTAGTCTTCCTTGGTAATGGCGGACGCAGTCAAGAGCTTCTCCCACTCCGGGGGTAAACCCACAAACGCGCCGGTGCGCGGATCGAAGCCGACATGAACACGATGGCTGAAGTTGGTCGGATTGCTCACACCACCCATCCCTGGGCAGCGCTCATAGATTTTGTCAATCCAATCGTAAATCTCGTCATCGCTTTTGACTTCACAGGTGATGCTCTTGGTAGGCACATCGCGAGTGATTAAGGCCGCTTTGGAGTTAGCATCTTTCGGGTTGGCGAGCCGCAGAATCTCAAACGCCATGCGTGTATCTTCGGAGCGTGAGACGCCGGTGACAGCGGCCAGCGGAATCGACAGCACAACCTTGCCTGTCTCATTCTTCAGAAAATCGAGCCGATATTCACGTAGGATCAGATACCGCTGGTTCCAAGTTGCCAGAAACTTGTCCTCCTTGCACCGAACATAGCCTTCTTTGATTACAGCGACACCTCCCTGACCGGACTGTTCGGTCTTGGTACGTGTGAGGGTTGGTGTGCTTGTGTTGGGGAACAAAGATAGATTGGCGGGCCCGGGAGTGCTGGGAGAGTTGAGACTCATTTGACTGAACGAGGTGGCTACGGTCGGGTTTGTTGGCAAATTGAGGTTTGGCCGATCAGCGGGAGGGCGGGGGGCAGGCCCCGGGTTCATGAATTGGTCGGGGGAGTACATTCTGCGGCCGAGTCAGCATGGCCCTCAAAGGACAGTGTGCACTGATGGTATTGGGATGAGATGGGGGCTGGGGGCCAGGATGGTAGCAGACGGTGAGGAAACGGAGACTTGCTTACTTTCCAGAGGAAAGCCTCCGGATTTGGCGGGGGGAGGGGGGGGGACGAGGGGGGACGAAGGCGTCAGGGGTGTATGGTGGGCTTCACGCGAATCGCACAGGGGGTAAGAAGCAGTCCGACCAACCCAGATGGGGGCTGCGATGCGATTCCCTGCAGGATTTGTCAGGAAGCTCGCATAACACCAACCGATCCGAAAATCGCAACTGCAGGGGCATTGAGAGTGGCGGAGGAAATGAGGAAAGAAGGTGAAAATGCATGCGCATAGCATCAATACCCGCGGGTAAAGCACATCGTGGGGCAGGTATGTCGGAGGCGGAGTGAAAGATGTGAAAAGGGGGCAAAGAGATTGGAGAAGACGCCGAAGACCAATACATGGGAGGACACATAGGAACAATGGAGGGGGACGGCACTGTTCGAAGGATGAAATTATGCTGGATTACCTGTTCTCTTATTAAAGAAGTCCTTGAGAAAACCTCACCGAGCGTGAAGGGCACGTCGCGAGGTCGCTACCCCGAAGTCCAGGCGGGGTGAGCACCGGCGATGGACACGATGCGGGCAAGACACAGTTGTATGGCAATGGATGGATGGATGAAGGGGGGAGGGAGAGAGTGAGAGAGAGAAAGACACGTATAATAACACAGGCGAAGGTAAGAAATGACCAGGTATAAAGAGAAGAAGAGGAGGAGGAAGGGGAGGAGGAGGGGAAGGGAAGGAGGGAAGAGAAGAACAAGGAGAAAGGGTGCGACAGAGGGGGAGGAAAGGGGAGAGAGCAAGTGCGTACAGTACTTACTGTCTGTACAGTACAAGGGTAGGCAGGTAGGTAGCATGTATGTACTGTACGTAGTTAGAATAACTAGTAATAACTGAACTAATAATGACTTTAGTTCATTAAGGGAGAAGGGGAGAAAGAATTATCAGTCGTCGTTTCACTAGTTATTGACTTACTTACCTCTGATTATTATTGAGGAAGCTTCTTCTTCTTCCTCTTCCTCTTCCTCTTCCTCTTCCTCTTCCTCCTTCTCTCTACCACTGTTTCAGTCTATCATTAGACATCATCATGATATTAACCTACTCTGGTAGACTCTTTGCTTCTGATTTTGGCTAGCTTTGCTCTCTCTAAATGGCAGTCTCCCTGCTTGTCAGCAATTGTAGCCAAACTGAGTGTACATGTACGAATACTGTTCAAGAGAAGATAGATTATCATCCAGAGGCAAGGCTTGCTCGCATGCAAGACAGTGTTGACTCAATAACCTTGATTGTTGGTGGTTTCACCTCAAACCTAAATCGAACCGATTTGCCCCTCATATGATAATATAGTAGGTGCCCATTACCAGAATAACAACAAATAAAACACCGAACTTATCTCGGGCGATACAAGTGGCGAAGTGGATGGAGCCTTTACACATATGTGTATGTGTACGTGAAAAGTAAGAATAGGTGACTGCTAGCCACTTATATCTTGTA